ACCATGGTCAGTGTGGCTTTGTGGGTTGAGCAGCCTCCCATGCACTGAGAGGTCACTCATGATTGCAGATTCAATCCCCAGTAGGGGGCGTGCAGGAGACAGCCCATCAGTGTTTCCCTCTCAATGTTGGTCTCTCCTTCTCAATGTTTGTCTCCCTTCCTCTCTCTCTAAAAAACCAATAAAAACATATTTTTTTAAAAAAAGTTGCCAGGAACTGTTGGTGAGGCTGAGTGTCAAAGAGAAGAAGAAGAATCTGTATCTCTTCCACATGTATCTTTTGGAAAGTGTATAATTGCCACTCTTCTTGGCCTTAGCTAGAACATCATACATTGGACTTAGTTAACAATTGGTCAAGAATTTGAAGCTAGACCTTAATCTATAATGTGGTTCACAGAATATGTGAAAGCCTGAAGTTCTTCTGAGATTAGCAGCAAAACATTTCTTTACCATCAGAAAAAGAAATATGCAGGACCATTGACCTCCCCATTAGTTGTAAACTTGACCCCCGCCACAGGCTGAAATGCCAGCAGGCTTCCACAAGGGATCAAAGCATGTACATGTATGCCAGGTGATGTCCTTCTCAAATAACCAGTGCTATTTACAACAAAATATGATGCTGATGCTGTAGCTCTAAGGACCACACTTTGAGTAGCACTGAGTTGCAAGGTTGTAGACCATCAGCTGGTTGAGGACAGGGTTCTTTTTGTTTCAGTCACTTGGGTATATACCTAGTACATAGGACAATTCTGAGAACACAGTGGGTGCTCACCACGTGTTTGTTGAATGAATACATATCACCCTTCTCCTGTCTGGTTAAGGTCTTTTGTTTGTGCTTTCCCTAACATCTGTGTGTAGATAGGATACATCTTTCTGGCACTTATAACAACCTATTGAAGTAGAGTTTTGTTTGTTTCTTCCTTTCTTTCCTTTCCCAAAAGATAAGTTGCTTAACAGGGTCTATACCAGTGGTTCTCAACCTTCCTAATGCCGCAACCCTTTAATACAGTTTCTTATGTTGTGGTGATCCCCAATCATAAAATTATTTTTGCTACTGTTATGTCTTAGGTGACCCCTGTGAAAGGGTTGTTCAACCCCCAAAGGGGTCCCGACCCACAGGTTGAGAACTGCTGGTCTATACAATTTTCTACCTTTCTCAGTACTTAGGACAGTGCTCGGAACATCAAATGCACTTAGAAAATGTATCTGAAATAAATAAATGATTTGGAAAAGAAACACCTGCTTTTTATCCCCCAAAGCTGCAAATTTGCTCCTCCATTGATTGATATGTGTTTCTCTGATTCCGAGCTGATCACCTGTTCTCGGGAGACTGGAGGAAGAGGTGCTGAAGACAAAGGAGGAATGAGTGTCTGGGAGGATACTCCTGGAGCAGAAATCACATGCAAACTCATCCTCAGATCAGACAGATTCAGAGGACATGGCAGATGAGGAAATGTCTCTACAGAAGTAGACTGAGTACATCAGTTATTTTCAACTGGTGCTTTTTGTCGTGAAAATAGCTTCTCTGCCAGGTCAGAATTTTTTTTGGTCATTTCCAAGGTCATTGCTCTTTCCCAGATCTGGCACTGAGTCCAGTCTGGCAAGTCTGGCTTCTTAAAGTGGATTAGGTGGGCCCCAAGGAGAGTCTGGTTTCCTGGCTGCATTCCGGATTCATATACCTAAAAGCCTTGTGATTTTCCTCTGAGGACAACCACCCACCTCTTCTGTTCCTGTTTGGACTGGAGTCCAGCTTTCTGACCTAAGCCACATGCACTATTTCATAAATGCCATTGCCCATGCCTGACCTGTTACAACCACTAGCTTTTTGTCATCGTCACTTTAGCTACATTCTGGTAGGTAAAACATAAATTAAACCTGTGGCCAAATCCAGAGTTCCTTAAGATTGCGCCAGTGCGTAACCCTTCCATGTAAAAGTGGGCTTGTGTAGACAGGCTGTCTCAGCCTTTTCCAGAACAGCAGAAAGACAGCTGTCCATGCAGGTCCTTCTCTCTGTCTGTTCTCTCTGAACTCCTGTGAGCTTATTTAACTCCCACATGGTGGGTGGACTCAGTTATCCTGTGTGCATGTGTGTGTCTGTGTCTGTGTCTGTGTGTGTGTGTGTGTGTGTTTAATCCTCACACTAAGATATTTTTCCATTGATTTTTTTTTCTTTCAGAGAGAGTGGAAAGGGTGGAGGGGGTGAGAAAGAAAGAGAGAGAGAAACACTGATGTGTCTTTGATTGGTTGCCTCCCACACGCTGGGAATTGAATCTGCAGGTACCTGCCCTGGACCAGAATCAAACAGGCTGCCCTTGCCTCCCCGGCCAACGCACTAACCAATGAACAATCGGCTAGGACCACAGTTATTACTTTACAAGAACAAAGAAAAGGAGCAGTGATATACATTTGAGGGTAAATTTCCACATCCGGTGTAAAAAAAAAAAAATGGGGGGTCATCTGAAATTCTATCTAGATAAAAGTGAACAAGAGTTAAAAATACTCTTACTTGTTCTATCGGTTTAGATTTTCATAACTGACTGTTTAATACACTGATAGGTGTGTTATGGAATATGGAAAGCCTATAGCTATGTATACTATAGATATGTAACTATATCCATGAATATATAAGTGATCTAGGTAGTACATAAATACATATATCTAGTTGTAGATAAATTGATATTTTAAACATGTAGAAAATTATTCATAACTTTGGAATAAGATAATTTGTGGGCAAGCAACCTAGTTGCTCCACAAGGAACGCGGTCTTGCCTGTCTTATGTGGTAACTTCACTTGTTTTGGGCAACTCCTGGAGTCTTTCATCCGATCCCATTTAAGAGTGGAGGGGACTTTTCAAGTGACTTTTGAAACGTTCCAGAAACGTCTGCTGGATGGAACCCACCCCTGGGAAGCAGGAACCAGGCTCCCGAGGCCAGGGAGGCTGGGGACGGCGCCTCTGCTCTCAGTGACAGAAGCTCAAGGACCCATTCCTGCGAAGTCTGGGAAGAAGGGAACGCCGGACCCCTCCTCTCTGCAGGGCTTCCAGCGGCTGTCTGAAACCGCAGCTCTCTGAGACCCTCCGGCCTCCCCTTCCCTTGCTCCCAACCGGAGCCCTGGGGAGTTAGAACTGGAAATGACCCCGGGGGATAACGTCCTCTTTCCTGGAGAGGGAAGCGGGAGTGGCTGGGCGCGCCCTGCATCTGCCTGGGACCAGGCTGTCGCCGCGGCACTGGCCTCCAGCCCAGGCTGCGTCCTGGTTCCTGGGCCACGTTTCCTGCGCACCCACCCTGCTCCCGAGGGCACCGTCCCCAGCACTCGCCCCACCACCCCTTCCCTCTGACGTCCGATCTCGAGCTCTGACGATCGCCCCCACCGGCCGCCCTTATAAAGGGGACTTTTGCCAATACTGAGATCGATCGCCACCTCGCCCGGTGCCACGCGCCCTCCGCCGGCTCCCACACCTGTCAACTCTGCGCGCCCAGGTTCTTAGAGAAGCTGGGCGAGGAGCCGCGCCGGGATCCTGACCCCAGCGCCTGGCCCTGCCCCCGCCCCCTGCAACCCTGCCCACCCCTTCCCACCACACACACACACACACACACACACACACGCACGCACACACGCACGCACACCACTGCACCCTTGCAGCCCGGCCAGCGGGTCCCGGGGGCGGCGGTCCCGGGAGCAGTCCGACGGGCGCAGCGCTTCTCCGAGCGGCGATCGGTCCAGGTAGGCGCGGCGCAGGGCGTTTTCAGAGCGGAGGGACGCGTCTCTTGCCTCGTCGTGGGGACGCGCGGGCCGTCCACTCCCTTGTACTCATGGTTCTCGGGTGCGAGCAGCTGGAAAGTCTGGTTACAGAAGGGACAAAGTCCTTGCGCAGGAGGTGGGCGGAGGGGTCCAGGGGGGACAGCGGGCCCTGGGAGCACACTGGCGAGGCCCCAGAAAGAACTTCCCGGTTAGGTTGCTCACAAAGGCAGCGCCCATCCAGCCCTGGGCTTCTTTTGCTTCCCCTGAATCCTGGGTAGGTTAGCTCGTCTCCCAAGGTCTCATTACCCACCCGCGTGCACAAATACGAATTTCTCCCAGAAACGTGTTTGTGTGAACTGGGTGCATGGAATAGCCATGATCACAAGGGGGGAATAACAGAGAAAGTGAAGGCGTTAGAACTTGACATCTGTCTTCTAAGAATCTTGATTTTAATACTTTTGACCCTCTGTTATGTTTTTAAATTGTTCCTTGTGTATACCGTTGAGGGGGGTGGGGGAGAGATGAAAGGAACAAAGGAGAATGGATCGGGAAGAAGGTTGATCAAGATGTTAAACAGCATCTTTAGTTGCTACAGAAACTTGAACCACAGGCACTTGTTGAAAATTGGAGTTGATGTGTTCTTTGAAATGGGTTCTGCTAAAGTTTTTGTTTGGTTGGTTGGTTGAGGGTTTTTTATTTTGGATATTTTCAGGTCACATTGCTTTTGGAGCATGCCCTGAAATTGTTTGAAGGAAGGCAAAGAGGAATGGATGAATGAATGGCTATGTTAGAATTCTCGGAGTAATCTTTTATGATATACTTACCTTACTGAATGATTCTAATTCGATTAATAAGTTCGTTCCCAAAAGGAAATAGATACATACTCTTTAGAAGTGATTTCTTAACTGAATTTCTGAAATAACAAGATAAGGTTAATTTTATATTGAAAGAATTTATTAAACACAAAATGTTTATGATTACATTAGTTACAAAGCATTTTCATGTCTCTCTCTCTCTCTTTTTTTTTTTTTTTGAATGCTCAGAACAATCCTATATTGTTAAATAGAATAATATAATAGACACCTACTAGTTTAACATGTGATTTCAATGTACTTTTTCTTCAACTGGCAAAGGATGCCTCATAAGCCAGCTGGTTTACCTCTGCCTGCCTGTGTATGCGCGGCTGGTCTGTAACCACTACTGTGTGTTCTTCAGAAGTCTGATGAAGTAGCCAGCTGTGGAAGACTCCAGAGCCTGGGTGAAATGGCTTTCCATGTGGAAGGACTGATAGCTATCATCATCTTCTACCTCCTAATCCTGCTGGTTGGAATATGGGCTGCCTGGAGAACCAAAAACAGTGGCAACTCGGAAGAGCGCAGCGAGGCCATAATAGTCGGTGGCAGAGACATTGGTCTGCTGGTGGGTGGATTTACCATGACAGGTAGGTCCAGAGGCCCAGCTCCATGCTGCCCTCCCTCCTTGGCTTCTCAGAGTGACAAAGCAAACATTACTCTTTGTCCTTTGAGGATTCTTTGTGTTCTTTACATATATATTTTAGAAATAATTTTCCATTTATTTAAAACAAAATTAAAATTGTTCTACGCGGTCATATTTGAACAAAGTGGCTTGATAATTAACCACAGAACAGAATATGAATGAAACAACCTGGGCCATCTGGGTGGAAACAATAAAAACAAAGAAGTGGAGGAAAGTGCAGAAGTCTCTTAGTTTTACAAGTTATGTATCTGTTAATTAATGTGATCAAGTCAGCATATCTTGTTCATTAATACAGGTATGCAGTTGTGACTTTGCACTGTCTTAAATGATGAGTATCAGTGAACACTAACTAGTGATGGTTTTAAGCAATAAATCAGTTCTAGGGCAACACAATTCCAAATTGATTGATGCCCTGTTTTGAAACCTAATCATCCCATTTAATAAACTATTTTCCTTAAAGGAAGACAGTCAGATGTTAGGAATCCACAGCAATGAAAGAAAAAGTTCCCAGGAACCTTGGTATGAAAGGAAAATTTTAGGGCATGTCTAACAGGAAGCGCCGGCTGCCATCTGCCCTCTCGCCTCCACACCTTCCCTGTGCCAGGAGGGGCTGGTGTTCTAGCCTCCTTTGCCCAGAGGTAGTCCTATTTCAGTGGTGATTTATTTCTCTCTTATATTCTCTTTGGTCATTGAAAATATTTCTAAAAAACAATTTATAATTATATTTTTAATATTATTTGATACATATTCACTAACAAAATACTTTTCCTTTTAGAGTCTTACTAGGTTTTTAAACATCAGCAACATATCCATACTAACAGCAGCTCTGAGTGCTCATTGGAAAGTAGCCCATTGGAAATCATATTAAAATGATGCTCAGTTTCAGTCTTGAAGTGTCACTTAAAAATGATTTGCTTTCTATGTGAAATATTTTACCAAACCAAGCTGTGAAGACTGCATCCCTGTTTGACCATCTGAAATATACTATGTTCTAGAATAATCTGTGGACTATAGATTTTTCTTTCCAATATTCACATTTTGTTTTGTTAAATCTTAGCCAAGTGTACATGGTTTTATTTGGTCTGAATACCTATGAAAGGATTCTGGGAGTGAGTGAGCACACAGATTTACACGGTTAACAAGGACCAGAGCCAGGGCCAAACCCGATCTTCTGGGAACCACGCCCAGGGCCCCTCCACAGCGTCAGCACAGTTAGCATCTCACTGATTTCTCTTTATTTCTTTATAAATGCACAGTTGTAAGGAGGTATTTTATCTTACCCTCTGTGTCTGCTCTTTATATACACCATATATGAAACACATTGTGTAGTGCAAAATATTTTCCATGATGTCTAATTGTGCAAAATTAGATAAATACAAAAACACAAAGAATCAAAATTATTCACAGAAATTTTGGCATGGACTTGTCGATGTTTTTTTCCCTTGTTAACCACCTATTGATGAACAGTGAACACAACTTTATATCATCATTTTCATTTTTCATTATAGCATTTCCTCTTTCCCTTAAAGACCCACATCTGATATTGGTATTTTAAGTGCGTTAAAACATTGTAATATTTCCCTCAGTTATTTCCTGTTACAAAGAAAATAAGAAAAAGAGCAAAATGAAACAAATGTGGTTGCTTTTACTAAAATAAGTGTTGGAAAGGATAAATAAGCTATTGTATATAAAAGTATTTTGCTCATTATAAATTATTATGTTTTATTACTCTAGTTTAACATTCTATTTATTTTGTCCATAAAGATAATATTTCACAATTTGTTCTTTTATCTTTACAGTGATATTTTTTTCAATCTAATAGGCTATTTTTAAAATAATCTCTCCCATTTCTTTCTTTTTAATTTTTATTGAATTTATTGATTTGACATTGGTTAATAAAATTATATAGTTTTCATACATACAATTCTATAATAAATTATCTGTGTATTGTATGGCATTGTGTGGTTACCACCCAGAGTCAAGTCTCCTTCCATCACCATTTATCCCACCTTTACCCTCTTCTCCCTCCACTCAACCCATACTTCGTCTATGAGGTGTTTTTGTTTCTGTTTTTCGTTGCTTAATCCTTTCACCCTTTTACCCAGCCCCCAACTCCCCTTCTCTCTGACAGCTGTCAGTCTGTTCTCTGTATCTGTGAGTCTGTTTCCATTTTTTTGTTAATTTTTTTTTATTAAAGTCCACATATAAGTAAAATCATATGGTATTTGTCTTTCTCTGGCTGGTTTATTTCACTTATGGACCATTAAATGGTACAGAAAAAAAATTGAATTATAATGTTTTTTTTTTTTTTAAGAGTCATGGTCTAAACTCAGTTTTTAAAGATTTTTAAGAATTTCTCAGAACTGAAAAGAATCTTGATTATTATCATAATTTATTTAAAATCTGAACCATATTATCTAAGCCTTGTCAGATTCATTGATTTTATACTTTTGATAAGTAACAAAGATTAAAAATAAAAATGCATATAGTTTAAAAGAGTTCTTGTTCTCATTCATGAATCTGACATGAAATATACAAACAGGCAAAGCAAATTTTTTACTAGAAGTTACCAGATGAATAAAAATGGAGGGACTCTAAAGATAACAAGTAAGTCTTCACTTCTATATTAGAATATTGGAGATCATTCAGGCAAGAATTTTCTGTTTGGATGAGGGCAGGAGACCTGCACAGAGAAAAATGATTACTAATAGCTTTGTGCTTGTGAGACCATCAGCCCATCTACTCTGTGCAATGACACATTGCTGGGTTGTTAGCAGTTCTGGTCACCAGCAGGAAGATGGACGATAAAATCTCAGGTCCTGTGCCTATGAGAATTTGTCTTTTCAGGCTCTAGTTACAATGGGGCTGGGAGAGGGGAACCCTTTTTTGAATTTCAACTAGACTTAGAATGAAAAAGACAAATAAGAGCTTTAGTTATTTGTTAACTCCCCCACAAACACTACTATGATGATGACTGTCTGCTAGCTCTGTGTTTGTCCACTTTAGGGTTTTGTACAGAAACTTTCCATCTAAATATACTTAAAATTATCCTGCAGGCAAGTCTTTTTATGTTAACCCTTTAAAAATAATACTAACTTCAAAATATTCTCTCTTCTTTGCTTTGTATTTGGATTTAAAAATAAAAACAACAGATAGATTTTGGTGTAAACACAAGAGAAACACTTGTTTTCTATAGATTCATATACATATTTTTGAAATTTTAATTACATGCAGTGAGATTTTAGAGAATTTTTTTAGAGTTGAATTAGATGATACAGCTTAGAATTCAGTCTCATACCTGAGAAGTTTCTTACCAATGTATGTTCCTCATAATTTTACACAAATTCTTCATAGGAATTATTTTAAATATTTAAACTATACTCTTAAAAATATATAAACTGCAGATATTTAAGTGTTCCATTAAATGTAGTTTTTAAGCAAGAGTTAAATACTATATTATATTCTCAGAGAAAATGGTAGTTTGTACATTTTCTCTAAACCTATGTAACCAAAATGTGGAGGTTTTTTTGGGGGGGGGGGGGTCCTTTACCTCTCCTTCAGCCATTATGCTACAGAAGTTTTATTAAATAGGATCTAAGAATATTTATTTTTCTTACTAGAATAGCCAGATTAGAACAAATAATTGTGAGTGGACATGCAATCAGTGTTTTAAATTTTTCTGAATGTTAGTCTAGGTTCGAAGCGTATGCTGTTTACTTGGGAAGAGAGTGGGAAAAGGCAATTTTCACTCTGGGATAAGTGAAATCTCTCCGCTCTTCAGTCTTTTAACAATTTAAGGTAGTAAGTACAACTTAGTTGTGATTTAAAGTGACTCTATTAACAAAAAGTACACACACTCACAACTACACATGTGCATGCGCATACACACACACACACACACACACACACACACACACTCGCTCCTTGAGAACAACAGTCATGATCAATGTGAATAGATCAATACAATTAAAACAGAAGAACGTTGAAATAAATACATTTGACCCATGTTATGGAGGCTGCGGGGAAAATCGTAGTTTCATTGAGAATAGAAATAGTCACGCACAGGGCCGCGCATGCGCGCTGCAGTGGGGCGAGGGGCAGCACAGGCGGAATCTGTCAGTGACAGCTGGAGGGGGAGGGGGAGGGGGAAGGGGAGGGACAAAAATATATAGTCGTGTACAAAGTTGTAGTTTTATTGAGAATAGAAATGGTCATGTACTATATTACATATGATCTCAAGCTTTATGAGCTAATGGTATCATTTAAATGTGTTGATAACTAAAGACATTGGACACATCTGGGGCAAACCTGTCCATTAGAAATATAATGAGAGCCACAAATGTAATGTTACATTTTCTACAAACCAGAAAATATAAAGAATAGTTGAATCAATGTAAGTAATAAAATATATTTAATTCAATACATTCTATTGTGTATTGTATGTGTGTGTGTGCAAAACAATGCAAATGTTTTCATTTCACAATGTAATCAATACAAAAATTGTAACATCTTACATTTAGATTTTCTTTTTTTTCAATCCTCACCCGAGGACATTTTTTCATTTTTTGTTCAGATAGAGTGGAAGGAGAGAGAGGGAGAGAAACATCAACGTGAAAGGGACACATCGAGTGGCTGCCTCCCACACGACCCAACCAGGGCTGGGGACAAACGGCAACCGAGGTACATACCCTTAGCGGGAACCGAACCCGGGTCTCTCTGGACCACAGACTGACCCTCTAACCACTGAGCAAAGCCAGCCAGGGCTACATTTAGGTTTTCATATGAACTCTTTTAAAATTTGGTTAAACATGCTGAGTCTTTGGAATCCAATGTTTTTTACACTCATTGGTTGTGTCATCTGGACTAACCACATTTCAGGTACTCAACAGCCACATGAGGCTAACAGCCAGGTGTTACACCGAGCAGGAATAGGGTGTGGCAGGCATGAGAGCGCTTTCCCTTACCTTCCTTCTCTTTCAGCCACCTGGGTCGGAGGAGGTTACATCAATGGGACAGCTGAAGCAGTGTATGTACCAGATTATGGTCTAGCTTGGGCTCAGGCACCAATTGGATATTCTCTTAGTCTGATTTTAGGTAAGTGAAAGTTCAAACCTCAGTGACCCTCTTGGGAAAGCACAAAGAGCAGAATAAAAATAACAAGTGAAATAACAAGTCAAACAATGTAAATAATTATTGTGGGAAAATGTCACCAGAAATATTTAAGTAGCTACTACCAGAAACTAGTAGCACATGCTTAGATTACTTGATCTCTTGATGATGCATTATGTTAAAAAAAACTCTTGATATATCAGAAGAGTGATTTTTTTTTTATCCTCACTCGAGGACCTTTTTGTATTTATCTTCAGACAGAGCAAGAGGAAGGGAGGGAGGAAGAGAGAGAAACATCGATCTGAGAGAGACACATCAACTGGTCGCCACCTATATGATCCCAACAGGGACAGGGGACAAACCGCAACCAAAGTACATGCCCTTAGTGGAAATCAAACCCAGGACTCTCTGGTCTGTGGGCCGACACTCTAACTGCTAAGCCAAACTGGTCAGGGCAGAAAACAGTGATTTTTAAAAATATAATGATGTGGTTATTTTCTTTCAAAAAGAGTTGTTTAAAATGAATCAACTTGAATTGTACCTGAATTTCTTTTTGTAAATCAAACTAATAAAAGGTCAAGAATATTATATAACAGAGTGTTCCTAACTTATTTTTGCACTTAAAATACATATATTAAATCTTGGGCTTAATTAAAATATCTGAACACCTGCTATGCTGGGTGACACATCAAGCTGTTTCAGTGAGTGTTGTGTTGGTCCATGTTTTCTAGTCCACAGGCCTCAGACATACCATTCAATTGTCCTTTGATGCATACAGTGATCAGGGTATTAATAAATTTGCCTTTGGTTGCTAGATATTTCTTAGTTTCTATATTCATATGACATTTCAGACTGGTTCCTTAACACATATAAGTGTCCTTAAAATTTTCTTTCCCTTGAGAAATTGTAGCATAATAAAAGGTTGGAAAAGACTATTACATTATAAATTTGCTATTTTGACATAAACCCTTGTTTCATTCCTTTTAGGTGGTCTGTTTTTTGCAAAACCTATGCGTTCCAGAGGATATGTGACCATGTTAGACCCATTTCAGCAGATCTATGGAAAACGTATGGGCGGCCTTCTGTTTATTCCTGCACTCATGGGGGAAATGTTCTGGGCGGCGGCCATCTTCTCCGCTTTAGGTAAGACCTAAGGAAACATCCCTCTACCCGAACCTCTGGTTGACTCAACATCAGACACACAACTCTACTTTCTTCATCCAAACTTCTCCTAGATTGATACAAACATCTCCCTAACACTTCTGTCTGCCTCCTGGAGTCTACCCATGGCAGCCGCACTCATCCTTCTAAAATGCAAATCTCATTATGTCCCTTTGCTGCTTATAAACAAACTTTTAACCAGGCTCATAGGCTTTTCATGACTTAGCTCTGACTGTCTCCTCTCATCATCCCCTCTCCTCCCTTCTTCTCTCACAACCGCAGTCCTTCTCTCTTACCTCTGACATTTTGCAAGCCCAGGTGCCTCCTGTCTGAGACGCCTCTCTGCTCGTTCCTGTCTCACGTCTGCCTCCTCCAGACCTTCTCATAGATGTCATTTCCTCAGAGAAGTGATCCCGCGCTTGCTTTCCCTGTGGGCTTCCTTAGACACCAAAAAAATTTGTTTTCATTGGAAATATCATTTTGTGCAATTATGTGCCTGTTTAGTTCATGCTCAATTTTCAATCTCACAAAAAGGACTATAGATTCATGAAGGCGGGATTTATGTCTTGTTAACAGTTGTGATCCTATCACAAATGAATGAAAAAAACCATTTACATTTTTTTAAATTCAATTTATTGGGGTGACATTGGTTATTAAAATTATATAGGTTTCAGAAGTATGATTCTACAAACTTCATCTGGATATTGTCTCCTCCCATCACCATTTATTCCCCTTTTACCTTCTTCTATCTTCTCCACCTCCTTCCCTTGGCAATCACCATACTGTTGCCTGTGTCCATGCTTTTTTTCTTCTTTGCTTAATCCCTTCACCCTTCTCACTCAGCCCCAAACCCCTTCCCCTCTGACAGCTGTCAGTATGTTCTCTGTATCCATGAGTCTGTGTCCACTTGGTTAATTTATTTTCTTCATTGCATTCCACATATAAATAAAATCATATTATACTTGTCTTTATCAGACATAGAGTTAAAAGTAATGGTTATTAAGATGCTCAGGGAACTTAGTGACAACTATAACAGCATGAAATAAGGCATAGAAACCATGAAAAGGAACCAATCAGAAAAGAAGTATACCATATCTGGCATCAAAAATAAAATGGAGTCCTGGGTGGCATGACTTAGTTGGTTGAGCATTGTCCCATGCACCAAAAGGTTGGTGGTTTGATTCCTAGTCAGAGCACATGTCTGAGTTGTGGGTTCTGTCCCCAGTTGGGGATGTACAGGAGGCTGCCAAGTACTGTTTCTCTCTCTCATTGATATTTCTCTCTCTCTCTCTCTCTCTCTCTCTCTCTCTCTCTCTCTCTTTCTCTCTCTCATACTTTCTCTCTCTCAAATCAATAAAAACTATAAAAAATACACTGGAAGAAATAAAAAAAAAAAGATTGAATGAAGCAAAGAATCAAGTCAGCAATTTGGAAGACAGAGTAGAAAAGAAAACACAAAATCAGAAAAGCAAAAAAATAAAAATAAAATGAAAAGAATGAGGACATTTAAGGGAAATTTGGGACAATATGAAGCATAACATCCACCTCATAGGGGTACCAGAAGAAGAAGAAGAAGAAGAGAGAGAGAGAGATAGAGAGAGAGAGAGAGAGAGAGAGATCAAGAATGCGTTTGATAGAATAATGACCCAAAACTTTCCTAACCTGTTGAGGGAAAAACACAGACAAGTGCAGAAAGCACAGAGAATGCTAAACAAGATAAATCCAAAGAAGCCCACACAAGGACAAAAGAGAAAAGGAACCTTAGAGCACTGTTGGTGCAACCACTGTGGAAACAGTATGGAGTTGCATCAAAATAAAAAATGGAACTTCCTTATGACCCAACATTTTAACTTCTGGGAATATATCTAAGGAAACCTGAAACACTAATTTCACTTAGCATAATACTCTCCAGGTCTATCCATGCTGTCGCAAAGGGTAAGATTTTCTTCTTATTTACAGCCAAGTGAGTAATATCCCATTGTGTAAATGCACCACATTTTTTAATCCACTCATCTACTCATCTGGCACTTGGGTTGCTTCCAAATCATGGCTATTGAACACTGCAATGAACATGGGGATGTATGTATCCTCCCCCCCCCCCCCCCCCCAGGCTGATGCTGAATGGAAGGGAGTGCTCCACCCAAGAAAGATGGTGACTACTGTATTGGAGAATGACTCAGCACAAAGATCCTGGTGGCTGACCCCTAGCTCCCTCCCCAAAGCCAAAAACCCCAGTCTTTCTTTATGCTACCATAGTCCTCTGGAGATGAGGGTGTGTGGCTACAAATGAAATTTTGTGCATTGCCTCCCCACCTTTTTAAATTTTCTCCTGAGGATATATTTTTATTGATTTCAGAGAGAGAGAAAGGGAGAAGGAAAGAGAGAGAAACATTGATGTGAGAGAGAAACATCGATTAGTTGCCTCCCATATGCACTCCTACTGGAATTCAAAATTGCAACCTGAGCATGTGCCCTGACTGGGAATTGAACCTGTGACCTTTCAGTGTATGGGGCAATGCTCCAGTCAACTTAGCCACACCAGCCAGGGCATATGCCCTGGCCCTTTAAGAGGGTGCCTGTGTCTCCAGCAGTCCCCATTTCTCCCTGGCAGATTGCAACCCCACTGCTTCTCAGAGCCAGATGTTATGTATGTGCCTATTCTCAGCTCTGGTGCTCTGTGCTGAGGATTTGGCTTCAGGTTTAGACCCCACTTTTTATGGGGATTTCCTTCAGCTGAGATATCCTTCCAGAACCTTAGCTTCAGCTCATGGGAGCTGGGTCAGCTTTTTTAGTTTCTCTTCCCTTCTTACTAGTCTTGACATGGCTTCCTCTGTAAACCCTGGGTTATAAGACTCCCCTTCAGTAGTCTTCAGTTGGTTATAGATGATGTTTATTCTTCAATTTAATTGTAATTCCAGTTTGGCCCTGGGAGGAGGTGATTGTAGCTTTCACCTACTCTGCTGCCATCTTGAAAACCCCTAATTCTGATTATACTTTCTTCAAAAAAAGAAAAAGAAAAAGAATTCAACATCTTTTCTCAATGTAATCCTGCAACATTGCAAAGTGTGGGGTGATATACATGTTTAGAGATCTAGAAAATAAGCTTAGACTCTTTAGGGCCTAACTTACTACCAAGATTAACTACTGCTGAGGATAACCTGTCCTTGGCCCTTGGATTCTTAGTCCACTTATAAGATTTAAAAAACAAGAGATTTCAATGGGATTGTGGGAAGTTTTCAAAGTCAATACCCTACCTTTTGATCAAGGGTAAATCTAAGCCATTCTATTGAGTATTTAGGTCCTTCCTAAATATTAATAGAATTGGAAATTCCACAAATTCCCTCAGTGAGCCATGTCAATGTTTGACATCCAGGCATTCATTTTGTTACTCTTCATCTTTCCTTACAAATGGAAATAAAGGGCTGAAGTCTACAGCCAGACTTTCAGTGGTCAAAACGGAAGTAAGGTAAGATGAATTTGTTTCTATGTTATCTGTTCTAGACCACAGATTTGTCTTTTGGTTTCAGTACTATCATCAGATCTGGTCTCTGTAATATTAGATATTAGTTTATAGTTATAGTTCTTTCCCTCTCAAACTTCTACATAATCTTATCTTATTTTCATGGTCTCTAACTATAAAATAAAGGAATGACTTTTCTTAAAAAGAAGAGAATTTGATCATTTTAAATGCTGTCATAACTCGGTGAAATGTTGGACTTCCCTGGTGCTAGATAACGATGCTCCACAACTACCACTGCACTTAGATCCTAATGAAGATACGTATGAAAATGCACCTCCTTTGCTACCTTACTCTCATTAGTAAGAAACAATAGTAGTTTATTTGTCATTGGTTTCGACATCAGAAAATTTTGCTTTTAAGAAACTGCCTGCTGAGATATCAAAAAAAAAGCAGGCTTAATATCTGACAGAATACAAAATATTTATTCTCACTGAATAAAGATCAATTTATGCAACAGATTCCTTAAAGGGGAATAGAATTAATAAGCTAATATTTCTAAAGTATTTTGGAAATATAAAACATAAGAGCAGCTATTCTTGTATATATGTGTGTCTACTTTTCTGTGCATATGTCAATATATTTGTAAAATATGTTAATGTCTCTCTCTCTCCCTCTCTACATATACACACATCAACAATAGAGATGAAAACATTACTGATATTGTTTGAAATATATGCTTTGATAAAAAGAATGTGTGTCTACTTTTAAATCAACACCTGTATTTTCTTCAAAAATAATAGTTGGACATGATTCAAAGTTATTATATATTTATTAGAAACATTTATTTTTATTAGATTAATAAACATTAATATTTATTAGAAACAACTTAAAATACTTAAGAATAGACACATATAAGATCTATTACCACCTTGTTGTGAGTGTGCATGGTTCACCACTGAAACTTAGGAGAATCTTAAACTATCTTCTTGGTATAAATGGACAACATCCTTCTAACTTTTTAAAGAAATGTATAGTATTGATATTTCTGACAGCTCAGATTCAGTGAATTTTTATAACTTTATTTACAGTACAGTATACTTATTTTTTATATATATATATATCCTCATCTGAGGACATTTTTCCATTTTCTGTTCAGATAGAGTGGGAAGGAGAGAGAGGAAGAGAGAGAGAAACATCGACGTGAAAGGGACACATCGAGTGGTTGCCACCCACACAACCCAACCAGGGCCGGGGACAAACTGCAACCGAGATACATGCCCTTAGCGGGAACCTAACCCGGGCCTCTCTGGACCGCAGGCCGACGCTCTAACCGCTGAGCCAAACCGGCCAGGGCAGTATACTTATTTTTATGGCTTCATGAACAAACTAATATTTCACAGCAGATCTGTAAGTATAACTTTGATTTTACTCACTACAAATGGAATCATTTAGAAAATATTTTAGAGAAAAATTCATCTCAGTCTTAACAACGATATAAAATTAGGTGACTTCTTTACAACCACTAAGTGAAAACCAGATGGCAACATCTACTAGTATCGCAAATCTTCAGGAGTCTAGTCCAGTGACCTTACTTCTGTAACATACAAACAGCATTGAAAAGAGGTAGGATAATAACACTAGTTATAATTCATGGGGTATAACTTAAAATGTTCTTATTGAAGTAGAGAACTAGATCAAAAGAACTAGATCAAGAGAACTAGATCAAACTAAATTTTCAACTAAAGTTGAAAAAATAATTTCAGAAAAAATAATTTGTTCAAAATCTTTACAACAATTCAGTCAATTATCCAGTCATTTATCAATAGTTAAACTTGTGATCATCCTTTAATTCCTTACCAGGCATTTCCTTTTATTAATTGGTTTTTACTCAAGAAAGAAATTTAATTTTATTACCAGAACCAAAGCACTCAGAAAATTTTGTTTGAAAAATATTTTGTATTATCTTAGATCAAAATATTTTATATTTCTCTTTGAGATAATAGTTGTTGTTTTTTTGTTTTGTTTTTGTTTTTTATCTCTGGTAGGTTGTATACACTATTAGCCAGCAATTGAAGAATAATAGAATATGATTAAAATAAAAAATCACAGGTTTGTTGCATGTATATTTGCATTGCTATCACTGCTGCATTTAATAATATGAAACATAAACTTTACAGCTTTTGAGAACAATGAGGAAAATGTTTGTAAAGTAAATTCAGATCTGGCATTCCAAGATCTGTGGTTTCCAACTGTCCGTATCATAATATCCTCATTAGAAATATAGACACCAACAGACACAATAAACAAAGTCATAAAGTAAGAAAAATAAATTTGATTTCTAAAGCAGGTTTAAAATTCTGATGGTGAAAATTACTTTATGATGTTGAAATCTAGGGTTCCTTAATACATTGGTGTTTCAGAAACAGGACAAGAATGCTCCACCAATAAAATAAAATAAATAGCATAACATAAAATAGAGCTTTCATAAAGTTGAAAGAAAAACAGTTAAAAGATGTAATTTACCAATTTTAATTTTTTTCTCCTACAAATTTGTCTAAGACCCTGGTATCATGCCTTTTGCCATCTAATAAAAGTTTACAAGTGTCAGAGTAATGCAAAACAGAGGATGAATATTAATTGTAAAATGTAGAAATTGGTTAATATGACTATCACCAAAAGCTGTTTTTCCATAGATGTGAGTAAACATATTGCATATATTCAATATTAAAGTGGAGTTTTCAATAGTTGATGGAGTTAACGTATGTTCTAATAATAGAATAAAATGTAAAATAGTTCATGGAATTCTGAAATCAAGTCATGAATTTCAGGTGTCCCCGCACAAATTAGTAAGCACTAATTTTTAAATTAGAAAGAATTTTTAAATATACGTACATACATACATGTATATGAATGTTCAGTTTCCTGAGATTTACAATTCTCAGTATGAACACCAACTCCAGCTGTACTTCCGTGTGACGCAGGGGAGTGTCTGCTGTCACTGAGCTTCCGCACGTCTGCAGGACAGCGGGGTGCACTGGGGCCCTTGACCTCAGCGTCCTCTCGTCTGTGTTCCTCAGGAGCCACCATCAGCGTGATCATTGACCTCGACGTGCACATCTCTGTCATTGTCTCCGCGCTCATCGCCATCCTGTACACCCTGGTGGGCGGTGTCTACTCCGTGGCCTACACTGACGTTGTTCAGCTCTTTTGTATTTTCGTAGGATTGGTAAGTGGGGCCATTCGCAGATTCTCTCTCTCCTGCTCCCTCCTTCCCTCTCTCCCTCCCTCCATTCCTCCCTGCCTCCCTTTTGCCCTCCTTTCCTTACTACTTTCCCTCCCTCCCTTCCTTCCTCCCTCCCTTCCTTCCTCCCTCCCTCCTTCCTCCCTCCCTCCCTCCTCTCTCCCTCCCTCCCTCCTTCCTTCCTTCCTTCCTCCTTCCTTCCTTCCTTCTTCCTTCCTTCCTCCTTCCTTCCTTCCTCCTTCCTTCCTCCTCCTTCCTTCCTTCTTCTTTCCTTCCTCCCTCCCTCCTCCCTCCCTCCCTCCCTCCCTCCCTCCTTCCTTCCTTCCTTCCTTCCTTCCTTCTTCTTCCTCCCTCCTTCCTTCCTTCTCTCCTTCCTTCCTTCCTCCTTCCTTCCTCTTCTTTTTTCCTCCTCCCTCCCTCCTCCCTCCCTCCCTCCCCTCCCTCCCTCCTTCCTTCCTTCCCCTTCCTTCCTTCCTCCTTCCTTCCTTCTTCTTTCCTTCCTTCTTCCTCCTTCCTTCCTTCCTTCCTTCCTTCCTTCCTTCCTTCCTTCCTTCCTTTCTTCCTTCCTTCTTTCCTTCCTCACTTCCTCACTTCCTCCCTCCCTCTCTCCCTTCCTTCCTTCCTTCCTTCCTTCCTTCCTTCCTTCCTTCCTTCCTTCCTTTTTTAAAAGATAGCATGCCATTTTATACTAAATCCTGAAAAACTAGTAGAAATGTTATTTTTCACCACAAGTAGTACATAGTAAGTCATATACCATAAAACATTAAATTTCTTTATGAATTCATTAAATAAGAAATCTAGTTGTTTTGTTAGATTTTGCCAGAAAAGTGTGCCCTCAGTTGAATTCTTAGAAAAGTCTCAGCCTTCCTTCCCTTCAAGTCTACACCTGATGGAACCTTACGTGTGCTCTTTCTTGAAGTTTGAAGGCAACATACCTCCTCATTATGGAAATTACACCTTGATGCTAACCTGTAGTGGACTCTAACCCTCTCCTTATATTAGTGTTGGTTAATCTATAAACTGCTCACAGGGCACTACAAATTCTCCTCTTGGAAATAACATGAGTTTCAATATTAATCATCACTATTTGGGTTCTATAAACAAAGAAAAGGCTTAATTATTATATAAGGCACTAAACAGATTTATTATGTATTGTGTATATATCCTAGGTTAAATTCGGCAATATATTTGTGCTTTATTAAATAAAAGTACTGTATGACTATGAGATATGAATATTATTAGTATTAAATTAAAAGCACTTTTGTGTGTTAAAAACTCTTGCTACTCAATGTTTATCCTTTACAAACTAACACCTTAAAATGTTATGATTGTAATCATGCATATAATAATATCCACTGCCCAGAACGAAAAGGAAGTATAAAGAAAATGGAATGTGCACTCTCTTCTAGGGGCTGTGATGGGTTCGTACAAGCACATGACCTCAGGAGTGTATTCCATAGAGTAAGGCCCTGTGCAGAGACCATGGACAGAGCGAGCTAAGACTGCAGACCGTGACGCATTCTTCTGGGGGATCAGAGCTCCCTGGGTTCTCCTGGTTTTGGTGTGTGTGTGTGTGTGTTTTCTTACCATGAAAAGCTTTGGACTCTTTTAGTGTTTACACTAGATACTTATAAGAAAAAATGAGGAATAAATTTCATACTCATTTTTGTTTCTTTTGTTCTGCATCTCTAATATACAGGAGGAAAGTTTAAAAGAACTAATTTCAGTTAGAACTGTAATTCTAGCAATGATTATAAAATTTCCTCTTTTTCTTCTAGACACCTTGTTTGCATTTCATGGACTTTTGCTCAGTTAAATTTTAGTTAAATCCAAAAATATTTAACTTGCTCAAGGACTTCTACATTTTTATTTTTATTTTAAAATTGTTTAATTGATTTTAGGGAGAAAGAGAAAGAAAGAAACATCAATGAGAGAGAAACATCGATTGGCCACCTCCTGCATATCCTCAACTGGGGACGGAGCCCACAACCTGAGCATGTGCCCTGACTAGAAATCGAACCGGTGACCTCTTGGTGCATGGTTCAATGTTCAACCAGTGAGCCACACTGGCTGGGTGACACATTTTTTTTTAATTTTTATCTTTATTGATTTGAGAGAGAGAGGAAGAGAGAGGGAGAGAAATAGTAATATTGATGAGAGAGGAACATTGATTGACTGCCTCCTGCATGCCCCCCACTGGGGATTTGGCCCTCAACTTTGCATGTGCCCTGACCGGGAATTGAACCAGTGACCTCTTGGTACATGGGTCAATGCTCAGCCACTGAACCACACTGGGCGGGCCACAGTTTTCTTTTTAAATATTCAAAAGCAAATGACAGTGCTGAGATTATGAATTTTCTTAACATCATCACAAACTTCCAGAAATAAAGTTCTGTTCTGAATATTGGAGGTGAGGTTAGTTTGGCAATGGTAGCTGTCATAAAAGGTGCACTTGGTATTCTAATAAGACAGCTCCAGGGAATGAATCTATTTATTTGCGGTTTATTGCTTTGTATGAGACCAGAAGTTAAAATACACAAGTGCACAGATCAAATATGCTAGTAGAAACATGACAGGGCAAATATTTGTAAGGATACATGTTAGAGAGGTTTTTCTGCTACAAAAATATAACTTATTAATAAGGAATCAAGTTCTATTTGTTACTACTTAAGGCCCTATTAAATTGGTGGAATAAAAGGCCAAACTTTTTTTTCCAAGCTTCAAGTCACTATACATGCATATATAATTAATCAACGTACAGCATAAACAATTTCCTCTTTTCAGATTCTCTGATTCTATTAAGTTTATCATATTCCTACAACTGTATATATTGTTCATATGTCAGTTTCCACACACCCTCGACCTCTTTCTTCTTATTGTTATTGAAGACTGTTGAATCTCTCTTTAAAATTCCTTTGTTACAATATTTTTTCATTTCCAGTATTATTACTCAACTTCAGGACATTATCTGGTTATATCAGTGCCAACTTATGCTCTTCCTGACTCCTCCCTTTTTATAAACTCACTGTTCACATCTATGAAAATGAAGAAATTCTACTAGAATATTTTAGAACCCAGAAGAAGTTCCTCTTCTAGCTTCTAGTTGTAGCAAAACGTAATAGAAATCTCTTAGCTTGCGCCCTGGCCAGTTTGGCTCAGCGGTTAGAGTGTTGGCCTGCGGTCCGGAGAAATCTCTTAGCTTGCAATTCAAAGCTTTCTCCACGTATCCAGCTTTACTTCTCCCATTTCCCGAAGCTACCCCCATGCACGCAAAGCTTCTAACCACAGATGTGCATGTGCACACACACACACACACACACACACACACACACATATATATATATAATTCTCAAATGTAACATTTTCTCCCCTGAGGTTTCTAGTGACTTCTTTGTTGGGTTATTATTGGTATAATTAAACACAGAAGTAGACAATATTTTACTTTAACTTTTCTAAGTCAGCATTTCATGATGTTACACAGACAACATGATTCCAGCTTATTCCCTATCTGAACAAGAGGAACTACTGAGCTATGTGGTCTATGAGGGAAAAAAAACAAAGCAGGTGACTAACCCTTGCATATATTAAGCAGTTAACAAACCACCGTGTGACACTCTGGTTACAGTGGATCAGCGTCCCGTTCGCACTGTCACATCCTGCAGTTACCAACATTGGGTTCACCTCTACGCACACCAAGTACCAGGCTCCTTGGCTGGGGACCATCGAATCATTTGAAGTCTACAGTTGGCTTGATAGCTTTCTGTTGTTGGTAAGTTGTGTCTTACTTGAGGAATGCAATGTAATGCTCCCTAAAATCAAATGCATTTTCAAGATGTTAATGTTCTATGTAAATTTCATGTACTGGCTCATGTCCATTTCTGAATCTACTACTTGCTATTGGAAGGATGGAGCGATTTACAGACTGTGGTAGCTGACTGTATCAAAGTGGACAAGTGAGGCCTTAAAGGGATAGCATCCATTGGATTGTGTGCACATTTCTAGTGTGCCGCAGAAGAAGTAAAGGCAGGTCACACATGGAGGGAAGAGAGAAAATCCAAAAGAACCTGACAAATTTTGATTTTGCTAATTAGAGGGATTTTGTATAAAATAAAACATTTAATTTTTATATAAAAATTAAGGGGAAATTGTTTATTTTTTTTCCTCCATAGAGGATTCACAATGTACTTGTGATTGCACTTTGTCTTTGTGATGTTCTGTTAAGTATCTTAGCCCTGTCAGTAAATGAGAGAGATCTGTCTCAGTAAAGAGTTTGCTGGTGAGAAGGCAGGAGAACACGAAGAAAAATGTTTCCTGTGGAGGCCAGAGATCTTCTTTTCCAAGGATTGTTAAGAATGTATCCAGTGAAGCTATTCTTAAATGGTTTACAATTTTGAATTTAGTGGATAAAGGTATCAAACATTATATGTGTATGTAATTATACCTGCATGGAAGGTATAGTTATGATTCTATGGAGGAGATGGTGACACTCAGTTAGACTATTTGTTAATAATCACAGCATTGTCTGAAAAAGACATTGAAATAGAGAAGCAAAACCCCAAATCTTTTCCTCTACAGTACACCAATTAGTCCTCAGATTTGCTAATCTTCAAGATAAAGCTTTATATTCTGCTAAAGATTTTCTATCTCAAAAAGTTATATGACTAAGTCATGGTCATTCTTTCAACTGTAAAATAAGTTGAAGTAAAATAATAGATGTTGAATGAATGAATGACTGTCTAAGTAAGCCTTGAAATGTTTCACCAATGGTCTCCGATCCTCCAATTGTCATGTAAATGATCATCCAGTGCAGCTCAGGATACCTGAGGTGTCTCCAGTCCCATCCAACCCTGCCCTCTGTCTGTGGCTCTAGATCAGGTAGGCAGCTTGCTCGCTGGCCTGTAGCCCTTCCACGGTCTCCCTGAAGTCACCCACACCTCTCACTCCTCCAAGCTCATTTCCCACCTTGCCATTAGAGCTGTTTGTCACTGAAGGTCAGATTTTACCCTATTTGTGACCTAAATGTCCAGAGAGACTGGTGTGTAAATTATTATATATCAGTTCATATAGTCATTGATATTATTGCACAATATTGGTTCACATAGAAGAGGTTAATGATATATTGATTTATAGGTTGCAAAACAAAAGGAAGTGCTTGGGAAGAATATAGGTTTAAGGAATGGGATAATGAAGTTTAGAACTTTTAAAACTTTTTCTGTACCTTTGGAACATGCATGGATTTTATCAGAAGAGAATTGTCTGGAATCAGTATGTGCCAAGCACTCTGATTGGCAAAGATATGACAAGGACAGACACAAAGCATGTCCCTGAGTTTAGAGCCAGGTGAGAGAGACAACTGAAGAATCAACCTTAATATGTTGTGATATGGGGAGCCCATTCAATTCACTCACTGATACCAAGTCTATGCCAGTCAGAGGAATGTGGCAGTAATTAAGGGGGAGGTATTTTCCCAGCCTCCTGCTAGCCATTCCCACACACCCTGACTTCCAGTTACAGGAAACACATAGTGTCCTCATAGCTGCTACATTGTTCTTTTTCCTTCTTTTTCTGTTGGGTTCTCTGACAGGTACTCTCCTCTCTCTCCATCTCCATCTGGTGACACCCTCTCAGTACTTAAGGATTTATTGGAATGCAATTTCTGTAGGATTACCAGGAAGTTGCCTTTCATCATGCCTCTCCACCCCTCAGTTTCCCCCAAATGACTAATTGCTCCTCAACATTGTTTCCATAAGTACCTCTTTATAGCATACAATATATTATATAATAGTTCAATGTCTATACGCTTTTTTGACTGTTTATCCTCAGTTTAAATTTTAATCACACCCTGACTGTAAGTACCTGCAATTGTAATTGTTTACATATACTTTACTAGTACATCGTGTAAATAATTGAATAAGGCATCACGTGACATTTAGATATGCGGTAACAATGAGTGTAAATGGAAATTCTAATACTGTCACGCCCTACTGTGTTGCGTGGAGCACGCTGCACCGCCCCTGTGGGGGACACGGCAGTGCATCGCCGCTCCCGTGGACAGGAGCCCGGAGCAAGCATGCCCTGTCCCTCTCCTGCTCTGCAGCCACTGCATTGCCTCGCACACGCTGGAGTCCAGAAATGCACAATGGGTTGTATTGATTCAGGTGGAAAAACTCCATATTTTCAGAATCTTAATTTTTTGAGACAATGTTGTGATGGTTAGGAGCCATAGATAAGAACCAATAGGCTTCTGGGAAATTGTAATGCAGCTTAGGTAAATTTAGGAAAAGTTCATCTTATGTAATTATGAAGGAAAAGAACTTGAAGAAATTCTGTACGGTTGTAAATATGACAATAACATAATAATAATAACAACTGAGATGTGTAGCATGTAAGGTCATTTTTTACACTTTAGAGATGTACATATGACTATTCTGAATGTGACTGCAAAAAGATAATCTCATGCTAAAAATATCTAATCCATGCTGCTTGCCTCTCATTCATTCTGAGTCCCCGTGGTTCCCATGCAGATGTTGGGTGGAATCCCATGGCAAGCCTACTTCCAGAGGGTCCTTTCTTCATCCTCAGCCACCTATGCTCAGGTGCTGTCCTTCCTGGCAGCATTTGGATGCCTGGTGATGGCCGTACCAGCCATACTCATTGGGGCCATTGGAGCGTCAACAGGTAACTCTCTTTCAGCTTCACTAATCAACCATTTTCTCTTTTACCGTCACATAATTGTTTATCATCAAGTTATACATATGTAAGTATTTATCATCAGATTTTATATATGTATATATATAACACGATATATCTTTGTTATAGTGTTTAGTACATTGTATTATATGTTTGTTGTCTCCAAACATTTTTCAACTTCTAACCCACCAATAAAATATTTATAAACAGCCCTGGACAGTTTGGCTCAGCAGTTAGAGTATCGGCCTGCAGACCAGTGAGTCACGGGTTTGATTCTGACCAAGGGCACGTATGGTGGTTGCAATTCGTCCCCGGCCCTGGTTGGGGTAGTGTGGGAAGCAGCCACTCGATGTGTCCCTTTCACATCGATGTTTCTCTACCTCTCTTCCTCTCTCTCCCTCCCACTCTGTCCTCTGGTGAGGATAAAAAAAAAATGTATAAGTATCCCCAGGGCCAGGGACCGAAGCACTACCAAGTTACATGCACTTGACTGGAATCAAACCAGTGACTCTTTGGTTCATGAGTCAAAGCTCTAACAGCTGAGCCAAATTGGCCAGGATGCGACCAGGGTTTTTAGAAGTCCTCCTGATGAGTCAAAGTGCAGCCAGACGTTTATCTGCTATCATCATGACCACTTTAAACTCGAGATTCCTGCTTTACCTTTTCAATAGTTTCTTAATTAAGTTTTTCTTCTTGGAGAAATCAATAAGTGTCTGCATAAAGATAAACTAAGGCTTGAAATCACTTAAAGAATTTCTTACTCAAAATTGGTAAAACGAGCATTATGAAATGCATACGTCCCAGTTAGCCTCTATCGAGAACAATTTAAATATCTCACCCTTAATTTTATTGAACTTATTGATCCTGACTGAACCTTATGTTCTCATGTTATCCAGCTTTTGAGCATTTTATGCAAATATGTCATATTAGCCCAAACTCAAAGGAGTCCTCTAGGTTCAGATAACTAAAACCCATTGCAGAAGTTGACCTTTCATTCTGTTGTGCTTTATAAAGATTACCCAGGATGACACCTACATGCTTATTTTGACTTTCCATTAGTAGAGCTATTTATTGGATGACTTAAATTTTAAAAGAGCAGTTATGGTTCATATCATATATTCTCTATTTCAGCTGTACACTCATGACATAAGTAAACATTTAAAAAGATGTTTGACAGAGGTGATTGTGTGCCTTTGAATAAAAGAGAGCATTTATGTCACAATCAGAAGACAGTTCTGGCCATTAATGTGTGTGTGTATGTGTGTGTGCGTGTGTGTGTGCATGCAAACACACACATACATGTATATAAGTGTTGAAGGACGATAGACTGAAAACAATGTAAAGCCTATTTTTTCCTAGATTAAGTACACATTTTTTATTCTTGTTATTTCTGACATCATAGCATCTTATTTAATGCTATAAAATCGGTTTCATCATGGCTCTGAACAATTATAATGGAAAATGAGGGGAAGAAAAAAATGGCAAGATCCAAGGGAAAAGACTCCTATTTGTTTCTGTAATCATAACATTAAAAAGTTCAACAAATAAAAAGAGCTCTATTAATGTATGTATAAAGAATCTGCTGTATTCTTTAGCACATGCTAGTACCGCAGTCCACACCTTATCCACAGAGGACAAACTCCAAGACCCCCAGTGGATACCTCAAATCCCAGATAGTATTAAACTTTATATAGTCCTCACTTAACATCACTGACAGGTTCTGTGGCTTTAAGCAAAATAACATATAACAATCTCCTTCTTACCACAGGCTAATTGATAACAAGCAAGAACTAAGTTCCCATGGTGTCCCATCAACAATGTAACAGAATGACATTGAATAAAATGACATTATCCAAGGACCTGTTGTATATACTATGTTTTATCTTATACATACTTACCTATGATAAAGTTTAACATAAATTAGACATAGTGATAGATTAACAACAATGACTAATAAAAATAGAAAAATTATAATAATATACTGTAATAAAAGTTATGTGAATGTGGTCTTTACCTCTCTCAAAATATCTTGTTGTGCAGTACTCACGTTGTTTTTCGGGGATGATGATACAATGATACAATGCCTACGTCATGCGGTGGAGTGAGGTGAATGGCTAGGCATTGTGATGTAGCGTGAGGGTTACCTCAGCACAGCTCTGCAATACCACGGAGATACTAAGGACTAGTGGGTGGGGAGCATACACATTATGTCACATCCCTGACCAGATGGGGCGGGCAGTGCGAGGCTGCATCACACCACTAAAACGTGATGCAATTCAAAGTTTATAAATTGTTTATTTCTGACATTTTCTATTTTCAGACCAAATTTGACCAAGGGTAACTGAAACCACAGAAAGCAAAACCACAGATGGGGAACTACTGCATAACTAAATGTTAAAGGCACTATCTATTCAAAGATAAATTTATGTTTCATGTCCTTTTGCCACAAAGTCCAAAAACCCTCTGAAAACAGCAGCCTCATATCTACACTTTTTAATCAATGAAAAGGGACTTTCCTTTATCTATCATGCTTTCTATTTCCAGTAAGTGAAAGCTGATGCAAGGAGAAATTTAATTGGGAAGAAGTGATGCTGAGGATGCTCCAAAACCCAAGTTGATATACAGAAAGAGCATCAGTGAGAATTGCCCCAGTATTCTTCATCCTTTTATGCATTTATAACCAAGGAATGAAACATTGAGTGTCTGCTCACATCTTGAAATGATTGAAGAAATAATTTATGCTTCAGTTTATATAGGTAGGTAGGTAGGTAGGTAGGTAGGTAGGTAGGTGATAAATGCTAGGTCGATCTGTTACCACCATATTCTGTGCAAGTCTTGTGAATAAGACTAAGTGTAACCAAAACTCATTAGAGGCCAGGACCTATAATATAATTTCACTTGACCTAATTAGACTAACATATCTAGTTAGAATTATTAGGTTTCCCATCTAATTAGACTAATTCATACCTTCCGAATTTTCCTCAAAAACTACCTAGTAAATAGGATGGCACCAGATTGACAGGGAACTCATGCCTCTTGGTTGCTGTTATGTTTTTGTTTCTACTCAACAGACTGGAACCAAACTACCTATGGGATTCCAGACCCCAAAAGTAAGGAGGAAGCAGACATGATTTTGCCGATCGTGCTGCAGTACCTCTGCCCAGTGTACATTTCTTTCTTCGGTCTGGGTGCAGTTTCTGCTGCTGTGATGTCATCAGCAGATTCTTCTATTTTGTCAGCAAGTTCAATGTTCGCTCGCAACATCTACCAGCTTTCATTCAGACAAAACGTAAGAGCTTTTTAAATGTTACATTATTGTTTTTGTTGTTGTCTTTGTGATTGTATTTATTATGTATGTAATATTATATAGTTATTAATATTCTATATAAAAATTTGACCTTACTTTTAAAAAAAAAAATCCTCACCTGAGGATAGTTTTGCATTTATTTCCAGACAGAATGGGAAGGAGAGAGAGAGAGAGAGAGAGAGAGAGAGAGAGAGAGACACATCAATGTGAGAAAGAGACATCGATTGATTGCCTTTTATACAACCCTGATCAGGGCTGGGGCTGAACTGTGACCGAGGTATGTGCCCTTGACCATGATTAAACCCACAGTTCTTTGGTCCTCAAGCTGACGCTCTAACTGCTGAGCCAAACAGGCCAGGGTGACACTACTTTGATTAAGCAAATAACGTTAGATAATGATGAATTTCACTTACGCTATATATGAATGTTTCTAATGCATGTTATCATTCATATTAATACTGAAGGAAACAGCCAGGCCAGTGTGGCTCAGTGGTTGAGCATGGATCTATGCACCAAGATGTCGCCAGTTCGATTCCTGGTCAGGGCACATGCCCAGGTTGTGGGCCTGATCCCCACGGGGGGACATGCAGGAGGCGGCCAATCCATGTGCTCTCTTATTGATTTTTCTCTCTCTCTCTCTCTCCCCCTCTCCCTTCCTCTCTCTCTAAAATCAATAAAGAAAAAAATGTTTAAAAAATAACATAACATTAAAAAGAAAGAAAAGATACTGAAGGAAACAAAGCAATATAACTGTTTCCGAAGAGGTACAGTTATACTGTTATAATTTAAACTCTCCTGTCTATGAAAGAGTAATGAAACCTAAAATATCTTAGAAAAGCTTTGAGTTCGATTAAATATGATAAGAAACTTGAGAACCTTAGTGGAAGAGAACATGGTAAGTTATTTCATGAGTATATGTCTCACTCTTCACTTGACTCTCAAATGTATCTTTGTCCAGAAATATCCTCCCAGTTGACTTTCCTCATTGCATGGCGTGGGCGCAGAACAGCATACCTCTGTGGGCTACTGAAGGCCAAGCAGCCCTGGCCACCTCCTTCCTTGACTACAACTTTGTCTTTCTCTAGATTTTCTAGGTCACTGTTAACAGAATGGTCCCACTTATTTTTTAAGGTGCTAACCTTAAAAATGGGTAGGGCTCCTATGAAGAGAGGAAGCAAGGATAAACATGCCTCCTGACTGCCACATGAGAACTATTTCTTTATATGTAAATAACCCCCCCCCCTTGTGTTATTCTTCTATGACAGCACATTAGCTCAGCTCCCATCTGCCCCTGTGCAGACAGGTAAGGCGTGGTGGTCTGTTTACTGCACGTGGTACTCAGAACCCTTCCAGAGGCCACCAGGGAGGCCAGCTAGAGTGCTTGCTTCACAGGCTGTGGTGTAGATTGGTTTTGCTCATAGACTGAGCCATTGAAACCAGGAGATCCTTCTGATCAGCATTAAAGCACAGAATTGCTTTACTTCACTTAAGTGAGCCAGCACCTTGCGTGACATCTGACCCTGGGACGATTTCTTGCAGGCATCAGACAAGGAAATCGTTTGGGTCATTCGAATCACAGTGTTTGTGTTTGGAGCTTCTGCGACCGCTATGGCGTTGCTGACCAAGACCGTGTACGGGCTCTGGTACCTGAGCTCGGACCTCGTCTACATCATCATCTTCCCGCAGCTCCTCTGCGTGCTCTTCGTCAAGGGGACCAACACGTACGGAGCCGCTGCGGGTTACGTTTCTGGCCTTTTCCTGAGAATAACTGGCGGGGAGCCATACCTGTACCTACAGCCCTTGTTCTTCTACCCCGGCTATTACTCTGATAAGAACGGCATATACAATCAAAGGTTCCCGTTCAAAACCCTCGCCATGCTTACCTCATTCCTAGTCAACATCGGCGTCTCCTATCTGGCCAAGTACCTGTTCGAAAGCGGAACCTTGCCACCCAAACTGGATGTGTTTGATGCTGTTGTCGCAAGGCACAGTGAAGAAAACATGGATAAGACAATTCTGGTCAAAAACGAAAATATTAAGTTGGATGAACTCGCACCTGTGAAGCCCCGACAGAGCATAGCTCGAAGCTCAACTTTCACCAATAAAGAGGCCTTCCTCCACATGGACTCCAGCCCAGAGGGGTCTGGGGCTGAGGACGGTTTGCAATGACCCCCCGAACCAAACAGAGCTCTCTCTCAGACAGAGCTCTGCAGCAGGCTAGTGCTGGAGGGGTGGTGTGCAGCGTATAAAATACATTTTAAAAATAACATTCAGGAGGACAAAAATCCATATAAAAGTGCAACTGTACAAACGCAAGCCAAGCTAAAAGGAATACCTCTGGAAGAAACCGCTTTGTTTCTCATTGCTACTGCTCATCCCCATTTGGTTTTGTCTCTGGGTAGATTTACTAAGTATTCAATAGTAAGTAAAGCCCCACCCAAAGCACAGAGGGCCAAACGGAGTATCTTCCGTATGAAAAAGGGAAGTAGAGGTGAAGGAGCCAAGGAAACTGAGTCATTGGGCCAGACTGTGTTTCTAATGCCCTGGTGAGTGTAGTTATGAGAAGGACCAGCGTTACACCAACCAACGGCGCAGTGCACGCACCGGCTGATTTTCTTGATGACACAGTGTACCCTTTAGTTTGCGTTCTTAGCTATAACACTTGTTGAACATGCAATTTGTTTTTCTTTTAGTAGTAGCATGTATTATTCTGAGCATAGGCAAAACAAATACAAAAAATATTGTATGGTGATTTTGTTATTGCAAAGCGAGGGGAAACGCGAATCCACCTCCGTTGAGCAGCACTGGGCTTTGAGTGTGTCTGCATCTACCACGTGCACGAGGACAGTGCCTGGAGCATGGAAGACACGGCTACTGGGTAAAATCTGAAAGCCATAAATCAAAAAGGTCATTAAGAAGAAATAACAAGAAAAACAGTAGATTGTTATCTTCATCTCAAGTTTGTAAAATTCTGATTGGTGATTAAAAAAGTAATGTCTTGGCTTGCCCTGTAAATCCGTACCGGAAGTGAACTGGAGCTATAGGTAAGATGAGGCAGCTCCACAGCACGCACTGAGGTTACTGAGGGACAAACTGCACGTCCTTACCGGAGTAAAACTAAAAAGACAAAACCCATTTGATTTTAGATATTTATTTGCTTATTTTAATTTAATTTTTCCATTACAGTTTATATTCAATATTATTTTGTATTAGTTTCAGGTGTACAGCATGGTGTGTATGCAGTCATGTACTGTACAAGATGATCTCCCAACATTCCCAGTACCCACCTGACACCACACACAGTGACCACAATATTATTGACTTGATTCCCTGCAGCGTACTTTAAATTCTCTGACTATTCTGTGATTACTAATCTGAATCTTTTAATTCCTTCACCTTTATTAATGAGGATAATTTATTGCTAAGAGTGTGACCAGTGTTGGGGGTGGGGACTGGGTGGAAGAGGTGAAGGGATTCAGTAAAGATACCCAACAAACTCACAGACACAGACATCAGTATGGTGGTGACCAGAAGGAAGGGGGGCTGGAGGCAGGCAAAAGAGGGTAAAGGAAGAATAAATGGTGATGGAAAGGACTAGCTTTTGGGTGGTGAACACACAACACAATAAAAAGATGATGCATTATAGAATTGTACACTTGAAACATATATAATTTTATTAACCATTGTCACCTCAATAAAATAAATAAATAAACAGCTACTCTGGCACTTTTCCATATAAGTCAGTCTTAGGCACTGGACAAGTCCCCACAACAGAAAGTATATAGTGAGTTTTAAAATGCAGAAGAAAGCATTTTAATAAGTAAAAATAAGTCCTAAAGAGAAGAAACCACCAATTTTAAAATTTGGTGTCTACATAATTTTCATGAGATGGGTCATTAAATATTATTTTGCTTTTTTTCTAGAGTTAAAAATTAAATATTATTTTGCTTCTTTTCTGGTTTATAACCATTTTAGAATTTTAAATGTTTCCCCACCAGTCACATAACAGAAATAACTATAACTGTGTAAAAATGCAGAGTAACCTGATGAGCTGAAAATTATCTGAGCAATTGATCCAATAAAGTAAGCAGCCTGGATTATTCAAATGAAAGCACTTTTTCTAAGAGTGTTTCTTTTTCGTGATTCATAGACAGAGTGAAGTTCATTCAGTGTTCGACTTTATGTATAAAAGTTGTGATCGAGAAGCTAGGCTTCCTTTTTTTAATTGTACTTGTCCAAAAGCATCAGATAAATGTATCTCTCTTTGTTATGAAACATGAATTAAATTTAAATGGTAGTTTTAAAATATTAAATTAAATAATTGTACCTGTTGTATCATCCCGTTTTTAATGTTTTATCGAAACTCGACGTGACTGACACTGCCTTCAGAATCTTACAGAACGCCCTCCGCTCCCACGTGGAAAGGGAGCTCCTTGTACTCTTCTGTTGGCTCAGCATCTGCTCTCTGCCCAGTGCCCTCTGGAGCACTGGAGGAAGCACGGTTTTGGAACCGGTAAAGGTGGATGGCCCGAGATTCTCAGACATGGATTGAAGGAAGAGCCAGGGGCAGGAAACACACTGAAGGAAAACTACAGAGATGAAATCATTTGTCATGTAAAAGTGATTTACTGGCAGGGCTACAGGTGCTGGCAAACATGATACTTCGAGTGCACCACCTTTCTGGTACCTGAATCGCATCTGTATTCGTTCCATCACCGTACGTTTTGGTTTCAACCTATTTAGGCTTCTGTACTCACAGGAAAACTTATGACAGAGTACAACATTGTAACAGAGTACAACAGGGACTTGAGTCTTTTTACAGACATTGTATTTATAGTGTTGTTGGGCAACAATTGTCCAAGCAAATAACCATATCAAATCCAGTGAAAAAGAATAAATATTAATAGTGAAATTTATTTCATTTCATTCATTTTGTAATAATAGAAAGATGAAGGGGAACTCCTTTAGCTTATCCAAAATATTAAAAACTAGATAACTCATTTTAGCTACCAGTGTTCTATTTTTATTAAGCCTATTATTTTCTACCTACTTTCAACCTAGATGTATTTTAAAAAACTAGGTTAGAAAATCCACTAATAAATTAGCTAAGTAGTAACAAGAAGATTTATCAAAAGGAATGAAACAGATTGCAGGGTCTTCATTTAGGCACCTTCACACACAAATGTCCCCGTTTCCAAGGAAGGAACAAAGTTGTGGTATGTAGAGGACAATGCTTTATGCTCAGCAATTACACTTTTTTGACATCACGAGTAATGCAGACAGCCTTGTGTTCTTCCAGCTTGCTCAGTGGACTTAATTTTCAAAAACCTGTTCTCAGTGAAAAGAAAGACACAGAAACATGTTAGACACTGACTATGTTCACCTTCCCAGGCAACACCTGTGTAATTGATCATCAGAATAAAACACATTGTTTTCATACTTTCATAATATTATAATTTGTTTATGGGTAAGTTTAGTGTTTCTTCACGCATGTTTTTAAAAACATCAGACTTGTAGATTCAACGCAACGATAGTCAACAACAAGCTTTCAAATCCTCAGCTTCAAAATCCAGTTTCATTGCTACACTTGTAAGTAATGAATTCTATGTGAATAAGAAATGAATGTAGCTTAAAATAAGTGAATCTAATGTAATGGCTATTAGCTTTTTTATTTGGAATAATGAATTAGCATTGTATCTTAAAGATAAATCAAGACTTTTTTTTAGCCTTCAAGAACATTTACTCTGATGTAATGTATAATGTGTTGTGAGTTTGCTACTGAACAGATAGGTATATAAAATGTTGCTAAACATATATTTTTGTCATCCAAATATATAAATTATGCTTAAAATAAGTAAATTTTCAACTCCACATGTAAATGTTTTAAATGTAATGGTTCTGTATTAAATTGTGCTAGTGCAATTCAGGATATTCTTGTCTAGGTTTGGCTTTTTCGGGCCCTTAAAGCAAATATAAATGGTGCTTCAAGACAATTATACAATAAATTAGAAATAAACCATCTAATTAATGGAACTTATGTAAATACAAAATGGAAATGTTGCACCTGTATAAATCTTGGGAAAATATATAATATCATATAAAAAAAAGTGAATTATTTTTCTTGGACCACAATACACAAATCTTTCTTTGAATCAAAGAAGTCAATAAACATAATTTCTATTCCACTAATATCAAGAAGATCTGATGTTGAAAAGCAAACATTTGTCTGGTTGTTGATTTAGGATATGCAATCACTAAATGACAAGCTGGTTCTCATTGTACTCTAAGTGTGTATTTCATACTTCAGAGCAAACCCTCAAGGCAAGAGGATTGCGTTTACCTGTTATTAGGCTAAAATTATTTGACATATACAAAGCTACATGAGCCCACAAGTATGATTCAGTGGTTGAGCACTGACCCATGCACCAAAAGGTCACTGGTTCAATTCCCAGTCAGGACACATGCCCAAGTGGTGGGCCAAAACCCCAGTGGGGGGAGCATGCAGGAGCAGGCCAGTTGATGTTCTCTCTCATCGATGTTTCTATCTCTCTCTCCTTCTCCTTTCCTCTCTCTCTAAAATCAATAAAGAAAAAAGAAAGAAAGAAAGAAAGAAAGCTACATGGCACAACACGCTTAAATGTAAAAATACAGAACTATAAACACAGCTTTATAACTGAGAAAATTATGACAAAATATATCTAGCTATTTTGGGAAATCATTTTGACTTTAAATCTTGTAGTATTAAACTGTTTGTTTGTTTGTTTGTTTTTTCTCCTTAAATGGGGACTTCAAGATTTATTTATTTATTTATTTAGTGATTTTTAGAGAGAGGAAGGGAGAGAGATAGAAACATCAATGTGAGAGAACATCGAATGGCCACCTCCTGCATGCCCCACACTGGGGATCGGGCCCACAACCTGGATATGTGTCCTGACTGGGAATCGAACCGGTGACCTCTTGGTGCATGGATCAATAGTCAACCACTAAGCCACACCAGCCAGGCATATCGAACTGGTTTTAAGTGTGGACTCCAAATCAGGGATAAAGAAAAAGAAGTCATGTTTTAAAGTATTTTGAGCTATAGATCACATTTGCTTTATTTGGCTTTTCAAGGACCAAACTTAACAGAATGTTAATGCTGCTCCACATACACCTAAACTGTGGCCTGGTGTGAATATGAGCTTAACTGCGAGTGGCTGGGTCTATAGAGAATTCTGTCTC